ACCCCCACCCCCTCCTACACCCCGCCGGGGAACCGCCGTTTCAAAAAAGTGGCGACCGCCGGTTGGCACGCTTTTGACGCCCCGAATCCACACCCCAAATTGATGACCCGACCGCTTTGCCCGCAGGCGAGCGGCTGCGGCTGCTGCACGATACGCTGGCCATTTTCAGCCAGCTGGTCACAGACCCGGCGTTCGCTGAGTCAGAGATCGCTTACGTCAGCAGGACCGGTGAGTCATGCTTGCGGGGTTCCGATGGTCGGTTCGGTGCCAGCAGGGCTGATGGATCCACTTTGGGCAGGGGCGCCGGTCCTGCATGTGCGCCGCCTGGACCAGCAAAAGGATCGACCAATTTTCAAGGTCTTCCGTTTGTTATTGTGCCGCTGGCCCGTCTGCAAGACAGGGACGCTCAGGGGTGCTGGCAGCTGGTCCAGCATGCCCTGTCCCCCCTGCACCCCTGCCCGCTTCATGAGCCCCACCCCGCCCCTCTCCTCCCCTGCCGACCCTCCCCTCTCCACCCTACCCCTGCTCTCCGGCCCCAGCCCATCCCTTCCCTTTTAACCCCTCCCCAACGCCCACCCCGCACTCCTCCAAACGCATGTCAACCGCCACCCACCCCCAGAGTACCCAGAGTGGGCTATCCCGGCATTGAAAGAGGTGTGTAATTCACCTACCTCTCATCACAACCGCCTCGAGCCCCTCCCTGCCGTGTTATTTGCACATTGGTGCACAGGCCAGATCAAAAAACCCATTGACGACAACCTTCATTCCCTGCGATGAGCCTGGGTGGCTGAGGCGGCTTTTTGCGTGGCCGGCACTCGCACCCCCCCTTGCCTCCGGAGGCCCGTGCGGGCGCCTGACGCCTGGGGGCTCTTGCCCGTCCAGCTCCCTGACATCGTCACATCCGATTGGGCGCCGCCAGGGGTGAGACAAAGCAAGGAAATATGAGTGAATTCAAGCACGCCCGCCAGCCCACGCTCTCCCTCCCGTCCCCGCCCGCAGTTCCACATCCCCATCCCCGAGGACGGCGGCCCCACCAACTACGAGGCGCTGCGCGTGCGCGGCCGCCCCCTCACGCTGCACGATGTCGGGAAGCACATGGAGATCTACCCCGGAAGGTGGGCAGATATCACATCACATAACATCACGCTTTTTCAGCAGCGAGGTTGGCAGAGTTATCCTCGCAGATGCAATGCGGTACACACACCCTGGCAGGTGGGGGCGGGCTGTCCGGAGGCCGTGGTGCAGGCCGCGACCTCTTCCTCTGACGCTGATGATGTTCACACAGTGCCGTAGCATTGAGCGTCTAGTGATGCTGGGCGGGCAAGGCTATGATCGTGATGTTCACAACGACAGGAGTGCACAGCACACATGTGTGCGCTCTCAATGCATTCGTTTCCAACCGACAACCCCGCTTTGGTGATGGCCCTCATTTCAAGCCCCACGTATTCCGACACTAGGCCAGAATATGCTGGAAGTTCATGTGTCCTCAAAGCCCATCCACCCTGGTTACCCCATGAAGCTTCCCACTCACTCGCACTCACCCGCAGCAAGACCACCCACTTCAAGCGCATCATCAAGGCGGCAGGCATCGAGCCGCGCGACTGCCTCTTCTTCGACAACGAGAAGTGAGGGCGTCATCGGGGCGCTGACTGTGCAGCTCATTACAGCGAAAAACCTCATGATGAAGAACTTCATGCCATGCATAAATGCAGCAGCGGGGCCCTGATTGCCGGCACATCAGCGAGAGGGGGAGGTGGGGTGCACATCAGCGCAGTCCACATGTCAAGGGCAAAGGGAGGGGCCACGATAACCCGTCGCCATCACGTGCAACTGGGATAGGAACTCACTAGCGGTGCAGCTGGTCACCAATAATGGCGACGGGCCGTCATTACAGCCCCGCTTGTTACGCTGACTCTCCCCCCTTCCCTGGCGGCGCCACCCAAACCTCCTTTGACCCCCATCCATCCTTCCAACACGCCAATGCACCCCACCCCACCCCACCAGCTGGAACTGCCGCGAGGTCGCCCCTATGGGCGTCATCTGCGTCCACACACCCAGGTGCGATGACGAAACGCGAGGCAATGACGCGGCTTGATGACAGTTTGCTGCAAGCGAGGTCTTGGATTTGAACGCGTATGCCCTGGGGCGTATGGGGTGGTCCCCCTGGGGTTTCCTGGCCCGCTTGTTGGCCTGGCGAATGTACAATGGCTCGCATGGGAATTGGCAACCGCCCCAAATGCCTGCGCTGCGCCTTCCAGAGGGTGTGCTGCATATTGTTAGTCATCGGTGGGGTGCGGCTGGTGACTGGGGTGGTGGGGGCGGCAAACGCCACCGCGGCTCTCGGCTTTCGTGATGCATACAAAACTGCCCCGCAGCAGTCGCGCCCCAGCGCAACAACCAATTGAAAGCCACTGCTGGGTCCGGCACTGCCGGCCACCCCAGGCAAACACAAACAAATCTTGACCGCGGAAGCTGCTCTGAAACCATTACGCAACTGTTGCCCAACTTCACAGGGGGATGACCGCCGCTGTGTGGCGTGAGGGGCTCGCCAAGTTTGCGGCCTCACGCGGCGCCGAGGGCGGCGTCCCTGCGGCGGCGGCGCGCAGCAGCGGCAAGGGCGGCCGGCGGTGACGCACCGGGCTGCGCGGCCCCCGGCGCGCAGCCGGCTGTGCAACTGGGGCTGGGCCGCCGGCGACCCGGTCTGTGAACTGAAAAGAAATCGCGGCCCCCCAGGTATTGTTCAGTCTGACTTCTTTTGCGCCACATATCAACAGGAAGCGAATGCATTCACATCCACTGCCCCCGTTTATCCGCCTCGCAAGATGGGATTCGGCTGCGCCGCCCGTATGCCGAGTGCGGCAGGGAATTGGGCCCTCTAGCACGGCAGCCAGCTTCCGGCCCACCACGGCGCTGCCCCCTCCCTGCACCCAATTGCACCCGTCAGCGCCCCACGCCTTGGCGTGGCAACGGCCGCTTCAAAAGCACTGCTCACCCGATCAGCAACCCAGCTATATTCTTGACTCAAGATTTGAGCTGAGTTTGTCCTAAACCCTTACATTGCGGGCATCCTCTACACACATCTGCAGCAATTGCTGCTGCGACTGCAACACCATTTGAGTCACCACGCCAACACGTTTCCTGATCGCACGACCAAACTCCAGCTTTTGTAATTGATCCCCGGCTCAGCTGCAGGCAATGCAAGCGGCAGCCGCCGGCTGGCGGGAAAACAAACGCGCCGTTCAATCTGCTGCTGGCTACAAGCACTCGCTGACTAAAAAGGCACCGGTCGCCTCCTCGCCTTCGGGCAACACTCGCCAGCCGCGCGAAGACGCTCTCCTGACGCTCTCCGAGTCACCCCGTGCGCGCTGCCCTCGCCTCGCCGGCAGGCCCTGAAATCAGCCACCAGCGGCGGGTCGCGCCGCCATGTTGTCACCAGGCGGCGTCAAGTGGTGATTCCTCACCCCGACTTGACGAGCTTGGCCTGCAGCTCCTCCTCTCGCGCGCCGTCCTCGCCGCGGGCGGCAGGCCTCCGGGTCCGCCAGGGAGCGATGACATCATCACGATGTCACCGGGTGACACCATGCGGGTGACGGGTCAACGCTGCTTGATACGCTTGGCCTGGAGGTCGACCTCTCGCGCGTCGTCCTTGCCGCGCCGGTAGGCCTCCGGGTCGGCCAGGCGGCGCAGTGCCCTCTTCTTGCCTTTCTTTAGGTTGAGGCCCTTTTCCAATTCGTCAGCCACCTGATTGGGAGCGGATGGGTGACACGAGGTTTTAGGGGTGGCTTACGCTGTGGATGAGGCCAGCCCGCCAGAGGCTGCACATGCCGAGCTGTTGCACGCTCCAGCTGATCTGCAGCACAGCCCAGCTGTACCGCAGCCCAGCTCTTGCACACCCCAGCTGCTCCGCAGCCCTGCTGTTGCACACCCCAGCTGCTCTGCAGCCCTGCTGTTGCACACCCAAGCTGCTCCGCAGCCGAGCGGTTTCAAGCCCCAGGCTCAAAACACAGCCCCACTCGCCTGGTGGTGTGCCTGAACGTAGAGGGACAGCTGCAACCCGGAAAGAGGGGCCGCCTCGCCCTCATCCTCACCCTCGCCCTCATCCCCACCCTCCGTCCAGCCGCCGCCGCCGCCACAGCCGCCGCTGACGTCATCACCTGAGCTCTGGGGATCCGCTTTGACCCCTGCACCCCCGCCCGCGCCCGCACCACCGCCGCCAACGCCGCCGCCGCCGGGGC